GCTCCGTCAGAAATGACAAACAACACTTTACATTGTGACATTGGGAATCCATTGCCCCGTGATAAATATGTGAGTTAAATTTATAATTATTATAACTATTAACTGTATTTTAAACTTTTATAGTTTTAAACAGAAATATAATTTAAATTGAACTGTAGGTACTTATAATTAATTAGTTCGCTATTTATTAATTATATACATTTTTAGGTACAATTCAAAGTTGTTTTGGAACCATATCAAACTACTGAAACTAAAGCCAAATACGAATTCAACATGGTGGTGAACAGCACAAATCCTGAACGTTTTGATACCGTGTCAGACAACACGAAATACTTAGGAGTGCCTCTTTGGGCGGAAACTGATTTGATCATTGTAGGATCGTCAAAACCCGTGGACGTACATTATAACATTACGATGGAAGACTCTCTAAATATTACTGATGAAAAGCAGATCGGACCACAAGTTATTCACATATACGGGATTCGAAATAAAGGCCCTTCAGATATATTAGAAGCTGAAGCTTACATTGACTGGCCTATGTTCACTTTAGCGGGTAAATACATTTTAATTCAACTCTAGACTGAATCGAGTACAAATGAATAATTGTATAATGTACCTATGCTAAATGTCTAAATATGAACTTAAACAACAATTTGTTAACAATGTTTTAAAATAATGTTTGAGTTAATTATTTGYCCTTAATCTGTAAAACAAAATAAAATAACTTAGTTTAATTAAATTATTTTATCATAGGAGAACCACTGTTATACTTACTCGAAATGCCCGAAACAAATGGACAGGTAAAATGTGAAGCTATTGAAGAAATTAATCCACTAAGATTAAATGTAAGTATTAGTTGGATGAGTATGTAAACAAGCGTGTTATTCAATATTAATTCTTTWGTATAATATAAAATATTAATATGTTTGCAGATCGATCGTAAGAGGAAGTCGTATTTTGAATCGAGTGGTTTGTTTTCAAGCGGTTCAAGTGCGTCAGTCACTGTTAAGGGCACAGAAGGCACTAGTTCGAGCTCTACAGGTGCGGTCGTCAAGACGTTTGCGGAACTGACGGAAGAGGAAAAACGACGTTTCATGGAAATCCAAAAGAAAGACGAAGAAGAATCAAAATCACAGTGGGGTGACGGTTCGTACGAACAAAAAATTCGATACCAGAACTCCAAACAGCAAACGACCGGAACAGTGCTGACCGGTGGCACGAGCCATAGCCGCAACGATGGTTCCGGTTCAACAATTGTTACCGACGTCAACCGTGGGCCAAAATTCACGATTGGATCATCGGAGAGCGGCGGAGGAGTGGTCCACACCGAATATTCAGGTTCAAAGTCAACGAGCGTGGTGACGGGCGGTAACCGCGGCAACGAAGCGTCTGGTACTTCGGTTGTAACCAACGCGAACCGAGGGCCGACGTTCACCGTAGGGTCGTCTGAAAGTGGTGGCGGCGTAGTGCGCAACGACTACGAGTCGAGATCGTCGTCGGGTTCAACTTCGATTTCCACGGGCGGTGCGTTAAGCACGCAGGGCAACCGTGGTTGGTCTGAGTCCGGCAGAGCGGAGAGCGACTACCGCGGTTATGGTTCATCGTCCCGCGGTGTGTATGGTGCTGCACATTTTGACGAGTCTGAGTCGTCATCGGGCCGTACGACTTTYCAGATGGGTGCGTCGTCGTCCGGGGGTACCACGCGCTTCGAGACTACGGGCACGGGTTCTCGTGTGGCAGTATCGTCCGAAAAGAACGCCGGTTCGGAATCCAGTGGTCAGTCGTCTATGACCGTCATACAGAGTGGATCTGAAGGTCGTGGTGAATCGGAAGTACGAGGTGAATCGGAAGTACGCGGTGGATGGTCGTCCGGCGGTCAATCATCGGTAACTTCGAAAGGCATTGGTTTAGGCGGGGTTAACGGTTGGGAAACGTCCAGGACGGCGGCTGAATCGCGAGGAGAAAAATGGTCACGTGACAACGGAATCGGCACACAATGGAATCAGGGCACTGGTGGTTGGCACCAGGGCGCCAAGAATTTCACGAGTTTCCGGGAATCGGAAAAGAGCCACGTGTCTAACACGACGTGGGACGACACTGTAGGTGGCATACCAAAGACGTACGTGACGGACCGATGGCGAACTAACAACGACGGGGTGATACGTAACGGCAGCTCGTCGCATGTAGTGGACGGTGACGCGTTGGACTACCGGGACGCAGCGGTGCGCAGGATGAACATGGCGGCAGGAACGGGTGGCGTGACCAACGTCATAGGTGGCACGACAGGAGATGACAGTGATCTATCGGTCAGTTTGACTGGCACCGCTGCCGTCACGGAAAGACAGAACCAGGGATTCAGGCAGTCTAAAGTGGACGAATCAGAAACTGTGCACAGGTGGCGGACGGTCGACGGAAAGCTGTACCGYGCCAACGCAGAAGGCAACTGGGACACGTTGCATATGACTTCCGACGGAAGTGGTTCGACAGATGTGTACGAGGCGCAGGACCTAAGTCCACAAAACTATGTAAAGCCGGCTGATGTCGATGGCAAGTTTAAACTGTACACCCGTTTTCGACGGGACACGCAAACCAAACGGTGTGGGCCCACTAGGTGCGTGACCGTCAAGTGTAAGATCGGGCCGCTATCAAAAGACCAAGAGGTGTGGCTGTCGTTCAGGTCCAGGGCTTGGGTCAGCACTTTGAAAAAGGTATTTATTAATAATCAATAATCGTTAAGAAAGTCCTTTACTAAAATAAAAACTCCTACCTACTTGAAAACTATTATGCAAAGGACCAAAAAATCCCTACTAYAAAGTAGGTACCTATCTCACGAGTAAATAAGTAATACCTACAATTTATCTGGTTTTCATTTACAGGTGGCGCTCAACAGACCAGTGACACTAAGTTCCACATTATCTGCAAAAGTCACCAAACTCCAATACATAGGCAAACCGGAAAGTAAACTCGCCCAGGTCAGGAGCTACGAGGTGTTCACAGAGGTCATTCCCAGGGACCTGGCTGTCAAACCGGACATCATTCCGCTGTGGATCGTCGTCTTAGCCGCTGTTGCTGGAACGGCTATCCTGTTGCTGCTAGTGTATTTGCTCTACAAGGTAAATATTTTCATCAGAGAGTTAACGTAAGCTTAAAGTCAAACATAGATCATGTTTTGAGGTTTTGCATTTTTCCAAAAACCACTTGTTAAAGTTCAGTTTATTTTGTAAAATTAAATTTTTTCCTATAGTTCAACAGTACCAATATATCATTAGGTTTATTGTTGGTAAATAATCGTTCCCAAGTGGACCATATTTAAGTGGTTTTATAGAGGCAATTCTCGCAGAATATTAAAAAAAAAGCATTAAGATGAAAGTACCAAGTGCCAGTACCGGTTTTTGACTATCAACTAGTTAAAATATTTCAAATTTTCAACCACTTAACTGTTTAGCACGCGAAAATAAAATTTTATAATATTGAATGAAGAAGTTACAATAATTTCTACCAAAAATAATGATTAGACATGAATTTACATTCATTTTTTTAAAGATACCAAACATATTATATTATGATATCTACAACACGCTTGATTTAATATCAGTAGTAGTAGGTACCAGCCAATATTTTAATTTACAAGAATTATTTCATAGATATTACAATAAATTGAAAATACTATAAATAAAATTATCTTACTACAATATGTATTGCCATAGTATGATCTGAAAGCTCAATATTTTATAATGAACATTTTATAGTTTTTTTTTTTATTATTATAAAAAATATACATATATTAGTAAGACTTTGTTTAATTGATTGTAAGTAAAATTCCATTAGTTATGAWTTTTTGTTTGTTCACAATTAACATAATATAAAAACTAATTCTATAAATCAAAAATGCATTWATTTTAATAACTGAATTTTTGGCTTTTGGTAGTGTGGATTCTTCAAACGCAATCGGCCTTCTAGTGCACCAGAAAAACAACCATTGACACACAGAAATGGACAGGCCGAGCTGTATCAAACAGGAGACGAAGCTTTGTAGGAACATTCAACTTTGTTCTGCTAAAACAAAAATAAATTGAATTAAAAAATTAAAATTAATATGATTGGAACTTAAATAAATTGCCATATTAAACCACCTAACTGATATTAATTTGTTATAATTTATTTTGTAAATATTTTAAAATAACTATTATGCATTATGTTTTTGTAAATAGTATATATAAAATTGTTTTATTTTCTTACATTTTGAAATATTAATGTAAATGTTGGTCTTATTGTAAATTAAATTATTGTATGAATCTATTAATTAATTAACTGTACTTAAACCTTGAGAGTAATTATTTTAATAAAAAAATTAAATATATTGTTTTAAAATTATAACGCTCTAGTCTAAAAAAATGAATYGTAAATKGAGTTGCATTTTTATTGTTTACAAAATTAACATTCAGTTATAAAATTAAAGTTTTTAATTATGACTTAATATTTAATAAGATATCAAAAATGTATGTTTGTGAATTTAAAAAAAATACCTATTCAATTTAATTATTTTAATAATGACTGATGATTTTTTGGTTTATTTTTAAATGAAAAATAAATTATAAAATGTATATAAATAATAATTTTTTTTTCTTCATTTGATATTTATTTTTCAAAAAAAGAAGTTGAATGCATTTATCATTGTTAATAAGGCTTTGCAATATAWAAAGTTGAACACAAAAAAAAGCTTTCATATTTTTTAATAGAGTTCAAAATTATATACAGTAAAACCTTTCTATAAAGGAATCGCTTGGAGCCAAACAATTTTTCATTAAGAGTTTTCCATCATAAAGAGGTAGAAATTGTATATATTATTCACACCAAGGCTATTGACATTTGCCATTATATGGAGGATTCCATTTAATAGAGGGTCAATTATAGAGTGGTTTTTCTGTAGTTCAAATTAGATTTGTAAGTTTGAGTTATTATACCAAGCAGTAATAATAACATAAGCTAGTTGATTATACCTCTTTATTTTTAAAACTATCAAACTGATAGGAAACCATTGACAATACACCAAATTATTCCTGGGAAACATGATGCAATGCTGTTTTAACATCAGGAGATTTGTACATAAAATTTAAGCTATTTAATTTGGTTTGTTGGACAGCTTGTCCCTCTAAAACCATTTTTGCACGTTCCGCTCCAAATATTAACTTGAAAATAAACCCAGGAACTTTTAACACAAAACTATGACCAAATACTTCAACAAAACTTTTGGCAAAGTAATGATGGGTAATTATCTGAAAAACGATAAAAATAACTATGACGTTTTAAATTTAAGAAAAAATTTAATATTACTTCAGGCGCGACTCCATTGACAATACCCTCTACCTCATTATTTTCTATAGCAAACAACACTAAACGACATACATCATCTATGTGTATCCAAGGAAAGAACTGAGAACCATTACCCATACATATTCCAAGACCATAACGAAAGAATGGATAAAGCTGACTTACAAATCCACCATGTCGGCCAAGGACAACCCCTATAAATCATATATAAATTACTAAAATTAATAAATGTTTTTATAGAATAAAAAATAATTATTATATTTTTTTTTACCTAATCTAATTATTATTGAGCGTACGTMATCTGATTTTGGTATAGCACTTTTTTCAATCCCAATTGCTAATTTGGATAAGTAATCAAATTCTTTAACATCATAGCTCTCTGTATATGGTTTACACTTATCTGTATTTGGTGGATATATTCCTAAAAAATCAATCAAAAGATAAACATTTGAGAGTGTAACTACAAACAATTTTAATTAAATAAAAATTATATGAATTTTTCAAATATATAATAAATTAACATATTTGTTGTGATCATATTTATATAACTATAGTTATAATTACTTCTATAAAGTATTTATTTATTTATTTTTTTTTAATTTTTAAAAATTTTAAAATGAAAATTAAAGATATTATTAGCTGTTCAATTTTCAAACCAAATATCTACTAAAAGTTCAGATCAATAATCCAACCAGAGAAATAAAAAATAAATATTAAAATTCAATAACATTAAAATAAAATATTTGAGGAATTCGAATAAGTTTGGATCTGTTCAAGTTCGTTAATTAAAAAAAAAGTTTGGTTAGATCTATAATTTTATAGTTTGTAACATCTCTAATAAAAATATTGATGTCGAACTTGCATAATATATAAACATTATAGACTATATTAATGAACGATTGCTTACCGGTACTGTAAACTACAGAACGAATTTTGGTTTGGTAACTAACAGGTTAATGAAATACCATTGACATTATCAATGTAATAATAGTAATCAGTTATCATTAAACCTTACAGGACTGGTAACACATTTACTGATTTTTCTTTTTTGACCCACCCTAAGTATTAAATAAATATTGATAGAGACATAACTAATCATGGTATATTGTTCCAGACAAAATATTAAACAGATTTGTCACTATTGATAAGAAATTGTGTTTAACATTTAAAATATTTTTTCTAGTAATGGTAGTGTARGTATAATAATTGTATGATCTAAATATTGGCAATATGTAAAATTGAGAGGTGTGGCAATGTGAGCGATTCATAATTGTAGGACTCCTAAAATTTGAATTCTAGTTGGCGCACAATGATTAATGCCATCAGTAACAACCTTATAATTAAAATGTATTTGTTAGTAAAATTATCAAATTGATTGTAACACACCTACTCCTGAAAATGATACAAATAATTTTGGTTTTTGTGTATTCATATTATCAATTGCATTCACGAGGTATTGATTAGTCAGTACTCTACTATCCCATACAGATTTTTTAAACTTGCTGGTCCATAATTTTGTAGGTTCAAGAATTGGTTCACCGGCTGCATTAATAACAGCTACTGTATCAAGTGGAATTTCATTTCTTATTACTTGATCCTGAARTAAAAAATAAAAATCATTGTTTAAAAACTCTAAATTATTGTTTTTGATATGATTTGACGTTTACCCAGCTTATAACAGAATCAGATTTATTGAACTTATTGTTTTTTCTAGATATAATAGTAACATCATAATTTTGGTCCTTGAGGTATTGTTTTAAATATTTTCCAACAAATCCTGTTCCACCTCCTKAAAAACGAATTAATATCACTATAAAGCAGTAAGAAGTAAACCACCACTAAGAAAATGTCATATCAGTCTGTATCTTTGTCTTACAAAATATGTACAACATAATGTTCAGCAAAATTAATATTGTGTTAATACATAGTTTTAATACTACAATAAATTTACAGGTATGAGAATTATTTATCGTTTTTTTTTTTTTTATAAATTTTAAAACTAGTTATTAGCTTTTTGAAATTTTAATATTTTTCATACTTTTAAGTTTTAACTAGCATTAAAATTAATTAACAAAATTGTCTTTAAATGTTATTAAGTGTAAATTTACTGCAGTATTAAAAACAACAACACACAATTAATATTTCTGAAGAACGTTGTGCTAAGTTTGTATTTTTGAAAAACAGAGGTGACACCAACAGGCATCATGTTCTTTTAAGGAATAATAAGTAATAACTGATTTTTTTTATTGATTAAAAACCCAGCAACTATAGCCTTTAGCTGTTTGTAGGG